GCAATTTTAAATTTAAAATCACATTATTATTCTCTCAAAATCATTATTTTTGAAAAAAATAGTAAGACCAAAAATTTTTTTCGGTTTTGATGGTTCATAACTTGAAAAAGATGCATAATAAAGATCTACTTTTCTCACAGTTTTTAAAATGCTGGAAAATATGAGAATTCCAGGTATTATTTTATGATCTTCAACGAGAATGAGGATTTTTTCGTCTCAGCCAAAAAAAAAATAATTTTTAAATTTTACTACAAGCGAGTAGTCATTTTATGAATTCTTTTGCTAATTCTCTGAAAATTATTATTTTTTACATGAAATCTAGTTTAATTTAGGAAATCGAAGATTTAGTGAAAAAAATTGCAAGACTAAATATTTTTTTCGATTTATTGGTTCATAACTTGAATGAATGCAACCTAAAGATCTACTTTAGTCTTAGTTTTCCAATAAAATGCTCGATAATATGAGAATTTTAGGTTTTTCTAAGATGGGAAATGAAGGTTTTCTAGTTCCAGAAACAAATTATTGTAACATTCGAGTAGTTTTTTTGTACAAAATATTTCGTATGAATTTAAAGAATTTTTTCGCTAATTCTCTGAAAATTCAGTTTTTTACGTAAAACCAAGCAGAATTTAGGAAATCGAAGATTTACTAAAAAAATAGCAAGACACGAATTTTTTTTTTCAATTTCGAGGGTTTCCAATATGAAAACATGCAGATAAAAGATCTACTTTAGTGTTCGTTTTTCGAAATAGTAGATAATATGAAAATTCCAGCTATTTTTGAGGAAAGTGAAACAAATAAATTGATTTTTTTTATTTTACTATAACTTTCAGTGTTTTTTTTAATTTGTCGTATTTCTTCTCTCTTTTCAGTCACTAAAAGCGCAGTAAAAAAATTGACTTTTTTAGTATAAAAAATTGTTTTTATATTTAGTTGATTTTTTTCTAGAGAATTTCGAATTTAAAGAATATTTTCGTTAATTCTCGAAAAATTAAGTTTTTTTTACACAAAATTTAAAAAATCGGAGATGTACTGAGAAAAAAAGCAATTTAATGCAAAGTTTGTTGTAAAATTTGAAATCTACCTAATCCTTGTCGGATAACTATTTATTGTCAAGGCAATTTTAAATTGAAAATTGCACGCTTCACGCAATTACTCTCTAAAAACCATTGCTTTTATTCATCTTTTAAGTAACTGTTTGCTTTATGACACGACATTGTTGTTTCAATTAGATACTGATCAAAAATTTGTGCAGTTACACAATTGGAAAGTTATGAATTATACAAATTGATAGAAATTCTCAATGATGCTACGAGACATAATTTGTGAAACTTCCTGAGTCTGCAATCACTTTTCGCAAGTTTGGAGGCCTTCTAATAAAAATTAATGGTTGGGAAATTTTTACCTATAAACGCTTGTTTTCCTGTTTACTTCAACCAAAATTTACATTACATTTTTTGATAAAGACTTTTTGTTTAATGAATCGTCGAAAAATATTTTTTTTTTAAATATGGAAGTCGGTAGTTTTGCATAGTAATGCGGAAATATTGATTAATAAAAGTTTTTTACTTTATTGTTGCTACACACGTTTTTTTTTCGTTTTTCAAAGTGCTTTTAACCGGAGAAATATTGTCCATAATAATGGAGTACTAATTGCCCTAATTGCCCATTAGTTGCTAGTTCTTGCTTTAATGCCTCTATTTCTATTCAAATTTAGCCATTTCCGTAATTGTGTCTAATCAATTTATCGAGTTACTTTGTAAACTCACCGATACGAATTTGAAATAAGAAGATATCAACCCAAATCCCTCACCTAATCAACATTTTTATTGCCAATTATCGTCTGCTCGTTTTGTGACTCTTTTCTTTTTATCTCCAGCTATCAAAAATTCCGGAAAAACACGACGATTAAAATTTATCCGAATTTGGGTCACAGAAAAAAAAATCACACTTTGTGAATGGTTCATTACGTTACAATTAATTTAATGAATAGGGGATATTGGTAGTGGGTTTGAACGGGCTTCGTTAATCAAATAAAGCAATTTTCGCCCTCACCAAAGGCTGATTCATTAAATGAACGGTTTTAAAGCGGAAATGAGCGCAATTGTGAAAAGGCTTCGGCAAGATTGGGGTTTTAGGAAAAACGTTTTATGTTTGGAAAAAAGACGAGAGGTCGACGATATTGCAGATTCTTGAGGGATTGGGGTGGAAAAAGTGTGCTTAGAGGGTGGATCGGGGATCAAGCGAGGTCGAGATTTTCAAATAGACGAACCGTAAAAATTCATTCTTAATGAAAAAAAAATTTTTTCTGAGGTGGATTCAGTCGGTTTTTATTTTTTTAAATTTATTTTTTGATTTGTGGATATTTTTTGGTTTTGAGTTCTGCAAAATTTCTAATCTTTTCAAACGTCAACTCACTATAATTCCCTTTTTACGAAGGATTATGATAATAATGTGTATTTTATTTAATTTTTTTATGAATATTAGTTACAATTTTGATAAAAAACTCAAACACAAAACAAAATTTCATTCTCAAAGCACGGTTACATTTTTTAATTAATTATTATTTTGTCAAGGCAAATTAAAAAAACTGTGATTTCATATTTTTTGTTCACTTGTATAATAAATTCGAAAGAATTCTATTTATTGATATTTCGTAGTCAAAAACTGTAGCGGGATTGCAGATTGCTGTAAATGTGTAGACCGTAGAAAACGAGATGGCGCAACGATACCAACCTTCACTTGTTTGATTTTCACTGTGAAACAAAAAAATAAAACAAAGTTATAAAAATACAACTTTATGCTACCTTTTCTCTTTGTTTTTGAAATCCATTTATATTTTTACGTTTCCTGACATGTTTTAGGCCTTAAACAGCTTAAAAATTTCTTTGGCAAACTTGTCCAGGCTCGTTATTCAAAACTTACAAGTTAATTTAAATTAATTTATTTTTTGTTTACTGATTAATTTCCTTATCTAATCAGTTTTTTCTCATTGATTTGATAAAAATCTTTAGGAAAGAAAAGTTTGTATTGATCTGTAAGTACTTTGAGTGTTTTGACAAAATATACAGTAGAACCTCGATAAACCGAACCCTCTATATCTCGAAATTTCTATAAGTCAAAGTGAAATCAATGTTTTCTCGATATTTCGAACCAAATTTCTTTTTAAGTTTAACAGTTTTCCGGTCCCCTCACCTCGAAATTTTCTTAAGTCATTTTTTTTGAAATTCCCGCAATTTTAGGTAATGCAGATTGGATCAATTTCTGCAGTTTGTACGTGTTTTCTGTCAAAATTCTAGACCTGAGAGATTTTCCGAAAAAAAAAAAAGGAAAAATGTATTACAGTCTTTAAGAAAAGATCATCTCGAAGACAAATAAATAAAATATACAGGGTGAACAGAATGGAACCAAGCGGTTTATTTGTCTCCACAAAATAATAATTAATATAAATAAAATAAAATATAAAAGTAATATAAAAAATGTGAAATTTTGTTTTGTTATTGAGTTATGCGATTTTTTTTTGTTAAAATTGCAATTTATGTATTTTTTTTAATTAAATATAAAGTAGATAGTTGTGATTCTTAGATTACAGGGTGTCTCAATGAAAACGACCCTCCCCGAATATCTCAGAAACTAAAAAAACTTTGCAAAAACGCCGAAACAGGTCAATTTTGTTTTCGAGGAGGCCATTTTTTGACATAATTTTGAAAGCACCCCCTGTAACCCTCTAACCCCCTCGCATCCTATCTTAAAAAAAAATAAATGGCACTACCCCATATGATATGAAAGGTATTTTAGCAAGCTTTTCAAGACTTTTTACCAAAATTGAATCAGACCATTTACTTGTGAGTTACAGGGTGTTTTAATAAAAACAAACCACAAACCTAGAAAGATTTTGCAAAAAAACCCGAAACAGGTTAATTAGGGATATTTTGTGACCCAATTTTTGGCTTGTTTCATTGGGACACCCTGTATGACTGTCATGAGAAAAATGGTTCTATAGTGGCTTGCCATTTAAAAAAAAACATTTTTTTTTTGTATAACTCAAAATCAAGAAAAAAATTTGAAAAATTTGATTCTTAATAAAACATCAGATAAATCTGTTTGTTTATTTATTTTATGCCATAAAAAGTTAATTTGTGTATACACTTTGTAAAACAATAAATATATCTTGAAATCTCGATAACTCGATTTTTTTTTTGACTTAACGATGTGGTTCCACTGTACAATAAATTGTTTATTTAATCTCTGAGTGTTTTGTGACATTTTCAATTACCACTTCTGTCGAGGTCAAAATTACTTACATAAGTCTCACACCATTTTTTTCTATAGTTGTCACAATGAGACTAAGCGTTACGTTAGTGTTATTTTTGTGCCATAATATTTGGTCTTACGATTATGAAACAAAATATTTTGAAGTACCCTTAGACCACTTCAGGTAGGCTTTCAAACTTTCGATTTCGATTTCAATTCTGAAATTGTAAAAATAACAGTTTCACCACCAAAACCACTTTCAAACTGAAATATTTAATCAATGATACGTTTTGGACGAACGATGGCCCGATTTTTTTCTACACTGGAAACGAAGGAACTATTGAAAATTTCGCTGAAAACACCGGATTTATCTTCGATATCGCTCCGAGTTTCAACGCTTTGATCGTCTTCGCTGAACATCGATATTACGGGGAAAGTTTGCCTTTTGGCAACGATTCTTTCAGTTCTTTGGGCCATTTAGGGTACTTGACTTCGAGTCAAGCCCTTGCTGATTTCGTCGATTTGATCGATTTTCTGAGTCTTGGAAAGGTTCCAGTGGTGGCTTTTGGGGGTTCTTATGGTGGAATGTTGTCCTCGTGGCTTCGTATGAAATACCCTGCGTCAGTCGTTGGTGCAATTGCTGCCTCAGCCCCAATTTGGCAATTTGAGACCTCCTGTGAGAATTTTTATAAAGTTGTTACTCAAGTCTACAAAGCAGTGACTGAGGATTGTCCTCGTTTGGTCACTGAATCATGGGAGGCTTTGAGGTGAGTGTAGCAGTGTTGCCAGTCAAAACAATTAAATTCACCAGATCTGAGCTGAAAAGTTACCAGATTTACACATATTTAAGATTCACGTTTTTTACATACATCTGTCCAAAAATGTGCTTAAACTCTCGAAAAATTCAAAAATACGTAGCTCTAATTCTATGATTTTTGGTTAGTTTTAATTAAATTTTGCGTAATACAGAATGAAAAAAAAATTATCTATCTATCTAAAAATGTGCTAAAACACTTGAAAAGAACATACAAAATATATTTTTTGACTATTGGAGATTTTTAGCTTTATTTTAGAGAAAACGTGTTAAAAACCTGAAATCTCATTTGATAAAAATGCTTAGAAGTTTTTGAAAAATTGAAAATAACATTATTTTCGACAAAATTTTGTTTTTTTTGTTCGATTTTGAATAACTTTTACTCAAAAATCAGTCAAATCGAGGGAAACAAACAAAATACCATCATTTTTGATTTGTTTTTGTGATTTTTAAATGTTTTTTGACAAAATCTTGCAAAAGAAATGAGCTTTTGCTTAAAAAAAAAAAATAAATTGAGCAAAACAAGCTAAAATGATGTCAATAAAAATCTAATTCGGTATTTTTTCAGATACTTTTAGAGAAAATGCTTTTAGTTACTCGAAAAAGACAAAAATAACACTATTTTTAACCTAAATTGATAAAATCTCAGCTGAAAAATGTGCTAAAACACTTGAAAAGAGGCTAAA